TTGGAAAGCAAAAAGTTATTTGTACTGTACGTGTATGGACTTTTTTCTTAATATTTTATAAACTGTACAGTAAAATAATTATTTATGCAGCTTCCTGAGCGGCCAAGGCTTCCAGTCCAAGTCCCCAGCTTCCTGAACTGCCAAACCTTCCAGTGCATTTGCAAATGAAAACTAGTTTCTGATGAACATGCCACAGCCATGTTTACAGCACACAACCATCTGTGCTTTCTGAGAGGTGACAAGAACTGGGTCTCTACAGTAAAAAGATGTTACATTCTAACTGGGCAAAGGAAGGAGCTTGATAAGGGGATTATTATTTATGTAAGTTTAAGTAGGATACAGGAAGAGCAACAAGGGAAGGGAGCTAGTCAAAATGAGGAGCTCCTGGCTGGGAGAAGAACAGGAGGAAACTACTTAGAACCTGGACAGAACTGCTATGAGATTCCTCTTAGGAATGTGGCCTTCGGTAGAAGGACATAGCCAATAGAACATTCTCTCAGCCTATTACTGCAGGGCACATAGGCAGGTAGAGAGAAGGGAATGGACTTGAAAGGCGGGTAGAAAATAGTAACTACAGCATCTAATGGCCAGACGATAGTTTAAGCAATGAGCCAGCCAACCTTATGGTATAACCATACTACTGAACCTTTCAGAATAAAGATCTGAGAGGAATAGGAGGTGGTGTGATGGCAAAGCATTTACCTAGCATGTGGGTGGCTCTGGGCTCCATCTCTAACACATTTTCTTTTCCTTAAAAAGAAGCTGGGTACCAGTGGCTCATGCCTGTAATCCTAGATACTTAGGAGGCTGAAATCTGAGGATCACATCTGAAGCCAGCCCAGGTAGGAAAGTCTGTGAGATTCCTATATCTCCGCTGAAGCACCAAAAAAAAAGAAAAACAGTGCCCAGGCCCAGAGTTCAAGCCCCACGACTGATTTAAAACAAAAAAGAAAGAAAGAAACTTTAAATGTGGTCAAGGAAACCTGTCTGGGAAGGGAGAGTGATAGGAGGGGGTCTGAGTCTGATGAAGGTACATTGTATACTTATATGGGCGTGTCCAGATGAAATCCCTATACAACTAATTAATGCTAATAAAATGTGGGGAAAATACTTATATAGACAGGAAGTGAGAAAAATCACCTGCATCCTTCTATGAATACACCATGTTAATATTTGATTTATATCAAAATTTGGGACCTTAGTATATTTATTGATTTGTAATATTCTTACCTAATTACTACACATTGCAGATACCATGACAGGATATATAATCAGAATTCTAATCTTTTTATTTAGTTATTTTTTGGTGCAGGTTCTGGGATTTGAACGCAGGGCCTAGGTGCTGTCCCTGAGCATTTTTGCTCAAGGCTAGTGCTCTACCACTTGAGCCACAGCTCCACTTCCAGTTTTCTGGTAGTTAATTGGAGATATGAGTCTCACAGACTTTTCTGCCTGGGTTGGCTTTGAACTGTGATCCTCAGATGTCAGCCTCTTGAGTAGGTAGGATTACAGGTGTGAGCCACCAGCACCTGTCTGGCTTAAAGTTTCTTTTATATGCAGACTGACTCTCAGTTTACCTTCTAGTATGCCCCAAGGGTGAAAACTGGAACTTGAGTTAGAGGCCTTCTTAGGCTGAGCTCTTTAAAAGGCAAATGTCTTATTACTTCTTTGATACCAAAACTATAAGAGAATGCTACTACCACTAATGGATACTATTTTTGAGGACTGACACTAACCTGGAAATCCTCCGGTCCAGGGTAGTTAATAAGGCTGTGTTAAACCAACAATAATAAACATGGTCTATATCTATTAGTCAGGTATGTTTCTCAACTAGAGAACATCAGCCCAACCAACTGATGGCCACTATGTAGACAATGGGTTGAAAAATGGGTTACTCTCTAACCTCTCTTAGAAGCTGTCTACTGACTTTCCCCGACTGGGGGTCTGTTCTCTCTGGTGTGGGGGCAGGTCTATGCAGGACAAGCATCGGCCAAAGGGCATGAACTCCTCTGCTTCCCAGTCACATGTCACCTCCAAACCCCTGAGGACTACCACCAGGGTACTGCCTTACCTAAAGTCAGAACCCATTCCAGGCCTCTGTTCCAATTCTCCAAACCTCCAGGCAAAACAATAATATTAATATCTGCCAGGGAATCAGAAATTTACGCACGCCAGAAACTGTGTATTTAAACACTCTCTTACTTTATAAAACACTGAAACACAAACCTGACAGCCTGTTTCACACATAACAAACGTGACCTAGAGGCTTAGTGAGCCCATCTATGTACCAAAGTGGAGTTGATGGTGGTGCCAGCCCATCTAGCCCTATACTACCTTCTAGGAGCACCTGTCAGACTCACCATAGGACTCCATCAGTGCTGGGATCACAGCTGCCTGAGGAGCCTTCCTCTTTCCCAGGTCTCATTGGGGAGCTGGGCTGAGCCCAATCTCCATTAGAATAGTTTTCCCCACTTACTGAGGATGAGGAGTTTGACTAAGAAACATTAGCCTGCACAGGGTAAGTCAAAGCAACCCTCATACACTGGGCAGGGTGGGACATAGTCATTAACCAAGGCTTTTCTTTCTTTAAATGAAAGCTTGCCAAAGGCTTGAGTTTAATGCCAGTCATTAAAAGAAACTCCTGAGTTAGACTCCAAGTATACTGTGACTCAAAAACAATACTGAGGGTCTTGAGGTTACCTGAGGGTGAGCTTGCCTAGCATGTATGAGGCCCTGTGTTTAATTCCAAGTACTGTCAAAAAAAAAGAAAAAGAAAAAGAAAGAAAGAAAAGTTACAAGGTTACCCTTAGAGTCCTACTGATGTTAACTAATAAGCAATTCTCAATCTTCTAAATTCTTTCCAGTAAGACCTCAGTTGCCTTTAATATCTTTGAATTTGCCTCTGAGACCTCAGGTAACCACACAACTGGCCCTCATCACCTAGACCTTCAGGATCCCCTGGCTCCCCACAACCAGGGAACTATAGGAGTAATCTCCACTGCCAAAGTGGTGTCAACACATGAACTTTTCCATATTAAGGAGCAGAAAGGAAACTACCTATGAGCCCAAATGAATAGCTTCAGCCAGGTTGGGCTCTTGTCTCAGTGGTTTTGCTTCTTTTCCAGGAGAAAATGGCAGAACCTGTAGAATTCCTGGCAATGCAGCATGCTAACAGGACATGAATAGGCTGCAAAGAATCACCAAGTGCCATGACCTTTCAAGGAAGAGTGTGCTGTAAGGAAGCAGCAACAGGTTCCATTGGCACTTTTGAAGACTCTGGGGATCCTGCCTCCTAGATATCACATCAGCTACTTATCTCTTAGCCGCAAGTTCAAGGTTCTTGTGCAGTCTGCTTCATATCTTGCCTCCTATCTTTCCTTCTTATTCTCCCTTATGGACACTCAATACTATAGAAACCAAATGACCTCAACTTTCCCTGATTCATGATGTTGTCTCTACTGGCTATTCTCTCTTCTCATCCTGTTACCTTCAATCTGGTTTGAGGCACAGTAGGAATTAATTCTTTCATTCCATGTCCAATTCCACCTCTCTGTGTTCTTTCTGGAAGTCTCCTTCCACCCTCACACATCTCTCTCTGCAGGTCTCCCACTGCTCTTGACAAGTTCAGAGCATACCTCATAGATCTCCATCCTAATCCTAAATGCTTTGTCCTGTGGTTGACCGTAAGTTATCAAAATTCTCTCTCTCTCTCTCTCTCTCTCGTCTGTCTGTCTCTCTTTCTCTCTCTCTCTCTCTCACACACACACACACACACGCACACACGCACACAAGTACATGCGTGCGCACACACACACTGTGTGTGTGTGTAATCTCCTAGGGGACCCTGGGAGCTACCTCACTCATGGTGATTTTCCATTAGTGGCTGGGCATCTGGTATAGACTCACCAAGTCTTTGTTGATAAGTAATGAAATCTTTTTGTGCCGGATTCCTGTCTCTTACCAAACAGAGACCTAAGTTGCATCTTATCTGGAGATAACAGTGTTAAGGGAATTGCCCTCTCCCTGTTCCCACCCTGGGAATGGGATTGGCTTTCGTTTACATAACTTTGGAGCGTCAACCCAACATAGTTGGGTTGGGCCTTAAGTCCACAGAATGTACAAATGGACATGACAACTGTAGTGTGCCCTCCTTGTGGAGAGCTAAATGCATCTCAAGATTACTCCTGGGAGACAGGCTGAGTCCACTTTAAGGGTAGCTCCCTCCCAGCAAGAAGCTTACAAGGGTGGCACTCCAACATTCTCTGGTGTTTACCAATCTCTCACATGCATTCTTCTACCCAGTCACACATGCCACAAGTCACTGAGAAATATCTGGATACATAGTTCCAACTATTCTGTGACAATGGTTATGAAAGGAACCTGGACCTCCCACTGCAATTTTTTTTTCCTGGCCAATCTTAATTTGAACCACCAAGCCCTGTGTCTCACCAACCCAGGAATGTGGGATGGGCAGGACGCTTTTGCTGGGAGAGACATCTGGTTTTCCAGGGGAACACAGCAAGAATAATCACAGTAGCCCAGAATAGAAAAGTCCCACTCTGACATCCTTCCAGCAGCTTATCCCCAAGTCCTCCCTCTCCCTGTGTCCACACCTAGGTTCCTGCTAACCCTGGGTCTTCCCTCTGCTTCTAGAACAACTCATAAGAAGAGTTCAAACCCTTCTGGTACCTTAAGGGTAAGCATGATCTCCCAATAGGGCTTATGGGCTCCAAATGTTTTCAAATAGCATGTCATTTCTAGGAACCGTCCCTCCCTCAGCCCTGCTCTGCTGAGGCCTCCACCCTCAAGTTTAACCATTCATGGACCTGTCCTCTGTGACCCAGGCTCTCTGGGATCTGCCATCCTCATTACTGGCAGAAACACACTAGGCATGGAATAAAGGAACCAAAGCAACCTTGGCCCAGATCCTGGTCCCAAGAGCTGTGGTGGGCTACATTGGGCCTGACCAGCTCAGTTCTGTGACGTCACGTCGGCCTTACCTCATCCCACTCCGAGGCAAAGGATGGTGACTTCTCCAGCCTCTTCTTCCCAATGCTACAGTTGGACAAAGACTCACTCCGGCTCCCCATTGTAGCGTCCTCGGTAGGTGAGCAGGTCAGGAGATCAGAGTCAGACTTGGACAAACTGCGGCTGAGTTTGAGCTCAGCTTTGGCTTTGCTAGTGGGAGGGGCTCGGCTTCTGGCCCCGCTCCGGTCTCCTTCTTCTTCAGCACCACCAGGGTGCAGAGGTGCTATGAGAGTCAAAGTCTCAGGGTGCGCTCGGCTGTTGGTAGAGGAGGGCAGGCCTGCTGGGTAACCTACTCGGTTGCTCTGGTCCAGGATGCAGGGCTGGGGGTCTCCAAGAGTGTGCAAACTGGTCTCCTCTAGTTGCATGCTGGCCTCGTGGCAGGCGCCCTGCTGGGGGGACTCGTCTGGATAGTTTTGGCCGGTGGCAGAAAGCAGCTGGAAAGGGTCCTGCCCCACCTCACATACTGGGGAGGAGCCGTGGAGGAGACCTGAGAACTGCTCTGGGACCTGCCCGTCCTGCCCCTCTGCAGAGTCCTGGCTCCGGCTACTGCTGCTCCGCCTGTGGTCTTGGAGTGGACGGAGAGAAATAAAAAATTAAACGTGGCAAAAATCAACAAAGTTCCAATGCAGCAAGCACACAGCAGAGCAGAGTAATTCCAAAACAGACAGGAAGAGAGAGAAGCTGGACAGGCTGGGAACAGCGGGGAGAGAAAGGAGAAGGAAGAAAACAGTTTCATATTGTTCTTCATGTTTAATTTGTACCCAAAGTCAGAGCATTTATGAAATTCCAAACACTGGCCTGATTAATACTATCTGGCAGCCGTCCCTGTTGTAAGATCTCCGTTAACATTAACGACCAGACCTTGCTATATAAGGCGAGGAGAAGTGCTAAGTATATCCTACAGAAAGGACACAAGTAAGGACAGAGTAAGTGAACATGGAGAGAGGGAGAGAGAGGAAAATGGAGGGAGAAAGAGAGGGAGACAGAGAAACAGAAAGAGACACACAGACAGACAGACACACACGCACAGAAAGAGAAAACACAAGCAGCAGACTCACTCCTGGAACATCTGATACATTTCCATAAAGGCCAAAGTGTTATTTAGAGCCACCCACCCTCCTTCCTCTGGCAAGCAGCAACAGAAGAAAAAAAAAAAAAGAGGTCATGATCCACAACCTGCAACTTCTGGAATTCCTTAACTGAAAGTGCAAAATGAAACAGCAGAGAAATAACTGCTTCCTTCCTTGGAGGAGGCCATTCAGTTCCACGCCTCATCCTTCCTTCCTTCCTTCCTTGAGGAACACACACTTTTTCTTTTCTTTCTTTTTTTTTCTTTGAGAATATGCACATCTCACTCCTGCCAAAGCCGCCCAGCTGCTCATATTTGTTTAAGTTTAACCTTAGTTGATCCAGTGAAAAAACGAAATGGTCTAATTTGTCAATGCCAGGAGACATTTGCAGTCCTCTGGAGACCTCCCCAACATCCTAGAAATCTGACACGGCTGGCTCACAAAGCCAACGACTACTGTACACGCAGAGACTTCTGCCCTGAAGTAGCACTAAATTGACTAAATCTGTGTCTCAGATCAGCACACACTGGGACACCCAGAGGTTCTCCCTGAAAGAACTCAGTCCCATGAAAGACGCGCCTGAATGCTAAGCAAAAGCTATGCCTGCTCTAGCACCAGGCCACATTCCAAAGCTTATTTTCTTTCTAAGTAGCACATGTACTGAATAACTACCTAGTTTGTCCACCCAAGAACTGATGAATTCTGAGATCAGAAAACTTTAGAGCTGAAAGTGTCAAGTACTTTCACAGATGAAGAATATGCTGGCAGTGTTGTATCCAAAGTGGTGGGGTTGGGGAGGAGTTGGAAGTTCTGGCTATGCTCTGGGCTGTGCTGCTCTACAGCTGTGTGGCCTTGGCAGTGGTGACTTTATCCTTTATCTTACTGAGCCCCCACATCTAAAATAATGAGTTGGACTACATGATCAATACAATACAAATCCGTGTACTGCTATGAGAGTGATGACAGCCCTAGTCCCCAGCAGGCCATGGTGACAAACCTCCCCGCCTTGGGGATGCTACACAGCTCTGCCTGGCACCTATCCTACTGTGTGTACAACAGCACTACTTTCCCTCTGCTCGGAGCCCTGAGACCCTTTCTGGAAGTTCAGTCTTCAAGTGGAAAGCTAGTCAGGGAGGAAGGGTAAAAAAATGAGTAGCAGCTTGCAAACATGATGTCCACCATGCAAACGTGACATTGCCGTCCCACAGGGCTGGGTCTCAGACAGTCCTCCCAACAGCCATCTCTGTCAAGGAGGCTGAATTTCTGCGGTCTGAGCTGCTTCCCCAGACGCGTGGCTCAGTCTCCACAGCTTTTGGCAAAGCTGCAGAGACAGCAGAGGGACAGCCGGTTCTCACCCCTGATGGCTGGTTAGTAGCCCACAGGAGCCCACAAGTATGAACTTTGCCACCTCCCTCTTCTGTACTTGACCTCTTTGGAACTTTCATACCCCCAACTCATAAATCCTGCACCACAAAGGTCAGGTCCTGAGCAATGAACAAGCCCTCAATAACTGGAATCAGTTCTCTAGGGAAGGAATGCTGAGAGCATGAGTTCCATTCAGCTTAACTAGGGGCTCAGGAAGCCATAACTCCATGGCTTTGAACACCCTTTATAACAACCGTCAGCCAGTATAAAGCTGCCTAGTGATATTGCATGTTGGGACCACAAAGTGAATGATACATGACCATCTAAGAGTGGATCAGGTCAAAAGTACTTGCTCAGAGCCAACCAAGCTGCAAAATTTGCCATCTATGGAATTATATTGTAATGGTCCTAGTCCAAGGTGCAAAGTCCCTCTGACAGCATGTGAATGCAAGAGAACCCTGGCACAGGAGCACAGGCTCTTACTTCCTACTCCTCTGCTTCAGCTTCTAGCTCTGTATGTCTGTGCGTGTGTACACGCATTCACATGCACGCACTGATACTGATACTGATACTTGAACTCAGGGCCTGTGTACTGTTCCTTAGCTTTTTTTTTTTTAACTAAAAGCTCTATTTCTGGCTTTTTGGTAGTTAATTGGAGATAAGAGTCTCATGATCCACAGATCTCAGCCTCCTGAGTAGCTAGGATTACTGGCATGAGCTATCAGTGCCCAGCCCAGCTTTTATCTTCTTTTTAACAGTTTGTAGGAGGGGATAACCAGCAGGAAAAGAATATGAGAGCCAACAGGCTGCTTGGCTCGCCCTGCTTGGTGGCCCTCAGAACTCAGGCCACATAGAATGTTCTGCCTGCTGCTGTAGGAGCTGACAATGAAAGCCCTGTCAAACAGCAACTCATTCATGCCGACCATCAATGAAGAAAGGGAGGCGGATGCCAAGAACTCAATCCCAGAGAGATGCCAGGAGGGAAGTGGGAAGAAAGAAGGGATGGAAACTTATGGAGGAAGGAAATATTATAACTCTTAAGAGTTCCATCACAGAAACCAATATATCATGGATTGTAAGACTCATGCAAAGAGAATTATAGTTCACTCAGGCAATTCCCTAAGATAGATACCTTGTTTTCTGAAAAGATCATCAAGACATAAGAACCCCAAGATCTGTGTGAGGTTTTTTTGTTTCTTTTTACTTTTTTTTTTTGAGACCTAGTTTTGCTGTCTAACTCAGGCAAACAATGAACTTGTGATCCTTCTACGTTAGCCTCTCAAGTATTGGGGATGAGAGGCGAGAAATCACTGTTTCTCAGTGGCCTCTTTCTTGGGCAATGTCAGGATAACAGCCTCTAAGGAGTAGGCAGTAATAATGTAATATAGGGTTAAGAGAAAAATATATAATCAAGAAGCAAATTATTTGAAAACTTCTATCCTATTAGTCTTGCCTGTAATTTTGGGATCTTAACAATACTTTTTTCATAGAACTGTTGTGAGAATAAATTGCCCATATAAAGCACTTAGATCCATACCAAGTTCTCAATAGACATCAATAATCGCCATTATTTCCCATGCAGGATCCATTACAACATACAGTCTTATAGGTGAGTCTGGCTACCTCTCCTCTCCTCACAGGGCTGTCACAGGATCATCAGACACTATATACAAAAGTACTTTGAAGGTGTAAAACGCTTCTGAATAGCCATTACTTTTATCATTTTTACAACTTTCAATAGCAGAGAAAGGGACAGAAGGTGACATGGAGAGAGAAAGCTGAAACAATGAGACCAGGCCCAGAACTGCTGCTGTAACCACTGATCTTACCAATAAGCATGCACTACGTGTTTCACAGATGACATAAAGATAAAGACACCATGCCTGTCTCAGTGGGCTTACCAGCTGGCCTTGTAGTAGTCAGTCCTTGCCAGGCTTGAAGGGGAGTAGACTATACATTATAAAAGGTAGAATACACCTCATGCCAAGGACTCTGCAGTGGCAGAAGAGAGCCTAAGGCTTGAGTTCTTCCTTCTGAGGACCTACCCTACTTCCCTCAGCCCTTACAGTTGGCCCTTCTACGAGAGACACAAGAAACCTCACACAGGGAGGGAGGGCTGTTTCAGATGCTCTACTGAACAGACCACAACAGTAAGCTAATCCCAAACCCCCATTTTGTGTGTGTGTATGTGTGTGCGTGTGTGCACTATATCCAGTCCTTTTGGTGTCCCTTCTTTTTGAATAGGAATCTTTTTGCCTAGGTGGGCCTGGACCACAATCCTTCTGTTTATTTGTACTTCCCCTGTAGCCTTTGGAGTTTGGGTGACAGTTATATACCACCATATCTGGCATTTTTTTTTTTTTTTTTTTGCCAGACCGGGGTCTTAAACTCAGGACCTGGGCACCGTTGCTCAGCTTTTCTGCTCAAGGTTGGTGTTCTGCCACTTGAGCCATACCTTTCCTTCCAGCTTTTTGCTGGTTAACTGAAGATAAGAGTCATGGACCTTCCTGCCCTGGCTGGCTTCAAACTGAATCATCAGATCTTAGCCTCCTGAACAGCTACAACTACAGATGTAAGCTACTGGCACCCAGCCACATCCAGCTTCTTATGGTTAAAATGAGGTCTTGTGATTTTTTTTTTTTTGGGGGGGGAGGCCTCTAACCAGGATCCTCTAGATCTCTCCCTACAATCCCAGCTACTCAAGAGGACTGCAGATCTAAACCACTGTGCCCACCATTAACTTCTGATATTTATTTATTCTGTGTGTTTATGTTCCTTTTACCCTGTGAGCTGAATAAACAAGTTGTCTGTGTAGCGTTTTAATTATTGTGATGATCCATAGGAATCTGGATGGCTTGTGAATAATAACACTTAACTTTTGCACATTTTCAGTCACCTATATCCATTTAAATGAGGGCTGGAAATTAGCACTGGGTTATACAGACATTGCTGAAGACTTAGATAAGACAGAAACACAGAATCTAATCTGGTCCACAGTGGCCTAAGAAAGAAAACAAGGGCTGAACTGAGATTCAAGAGGCCCAGGTTATAGTATCAGCCTTGTGATTATTCCTCTGTGAGTCTCTTTGGAAACATAAATGACTGGGATAACTAGGTTTGTGATTTAGGA